TCTGTCTCTCTCTCTCTGTCTCTCTCTCTCTCCTCTCTCTCTCTGTCTCTCTCCTCTCTCTCTCTGTCTCTCTCTCTCTCTCCTCTCTCTCTCTCTCTCTCTCTCTCTCTCTCTCTCTCTCTCTCTACTACAGATCGAAAGCGCACACGTCCTCTCTCTCTCCTCTCTCTCTGTCTCTCTCTCTCTCTCTCTCTGTGTGTATTTGTGTTTTCTTCAGCTGTATGCCAGAGGGAAATGAACAGCCATGAACCCAAAAGTGGAGCGACACTCTCACTTCATCTTCACAGAGGTGACCAATAGCACATGCCGTTTTACATCATCAACACATGAAGAGATTTTCTCCGGTCACAACAAGCGAGAGACACGATGACACGTCTTCAGCACGTGTCGATTAAAATAAAATCTCTCTGCCTGAGAAGAAGTGTGACTGCAATCCTGTCACTTTGTGATATATTTTCAACAAAAAGGATTTTGAAGCCCTACGTTTTAGGATTTCTGGTTGTTGACTTTTTGCTGTCAAAAGTTCTGATGCCTTTGAATTGAAGTTGTTTTTTTATATCTAAGGGTTAAAAAAGTGCCAAGAATAACATATGCTATTGCTTTTAGGTAACAAACTGCTTATCTTGGAAATTGTAAAAATAGTAGTGCTGTCAAATGATTAATCGCGATTAATCGCATCCAAAATAAAAGTTTTTATTTACATAATATATCTGTGTGTACTTTGTATATTTATCATGTATATATAAATACACACACACATAGTATATATTTTGAAAATATTTACATGCATTTACATGTATATATTTATATCCATATAATTTATATTATATATAAATACATAAACGTAACATATTTTTCTGAAATATATACATGCATGGGCATGTATTTATATATACATAATAAATATACACAGTACACACACATATACTTTTATTTTGGATGCGATTAATCGCGATTAATCGTTTGACAGCACTAAAAAAATAGTTAATTGACTGAATTTAAAAAATTTAATCTTTGAAAACCAGAACATGATTTTATAATCATAATTCTGGTCCTTCTTTCACCTTTTCTTTGAAATGATTCCTAAAAGCTAACAAAACTACATCACAGTGAAAAAAAAATTGTAGTAAAGCAATGATATTATTTAGGATATATAATTAATCAGTATTTACATTATAGTGGTTAATATGTAAATTACAATTACCCCATAAGGAGGTTATTAATACATTATGATATCTTGTACTCAATAGTATAATCAAGTCTTAATAAATATAAATAAATGTTATGATTTTCAGTAGTCTGAGTTGTGAAAGAAATGTAAAAAGGCAGATAAACATAAAATCCAAATTAAGAATAGTCTATTTAGTAAATAATATTACTACTAATATTAGTAATAATAATAATTATTATTATCATTATTATTCTTATATATTATATTAATTATATATACAGTATATATATATATATATATATATATATATATATATAATTTTTGCATTTTTATAATATAATCATAATAATTATTGTTCTTATTTGTATTATTATATTGCCCCACAAAGGTTGTGGTGTGTCAGAGTGAATGTGTGTTCATGTATCTCACACCTCCTCTTGAGCTGCAGATGTCTGAAGCACAGGATTCACCGTGTGACCCTTTTTATTTTTGGGGTGTAAAACCATATGCTTCCTGTCAGACTCAGAATCCAAGTTTCATAGCCAAACTTAAGAATGAGATTTAAAGAGCTCAGACTCTGCCAGAAAACACACACACACACACACACACACACACACACACAAAGATGAAGCTGGATTCAGTCAAATCATTGGCGTTTATAAGCAGCATGTGAACTGAAGCGCACTACTGAGTAGGCTACGTCACCACACTGAGGGCCAAACTCTATATTCATTACATTGTGACGGCACAATAACTCAAGTATATGCTTGTGTGGATCTGTTCCACTGATATCAGCGTCCACTCGTGCACATTACAGCTCAAGGACAGGACGATCTGATGCTTCAACCTACAGAGGAACTAACCAAATGCTGCACCATATGCTCACAAGCAGCACATCCCCTGCAAAGCAAACACACCGCGATCATAAACACCACACAACAATACGTTCTGAAGCTCTCTGAAGGTCAGATGATCAGGGCCGTGTTCCTGACTCGTTGTGAATGGCCTGTCTGTGATTGACGGGATCACACCGGGACTCTCTCTGCGCTCAGCTGCTTTGAAGATGACTTTAGATCTCAGGATGGAAAGTCATTAAAGGACAACGGATATTTAAATCACAATAGACCCTGACAGCCATGCAGGGACAAAAGTCCTTATAGATGGACAGATTTTGATATTTGTCTGTTGAAATGATTATTGACATTGCTTACAGTATCTCATATCATACAGATTTCTGCAGCAGAAAATAATTGATCATATACAGTAATTTATAATAAAAAGAAAGAAAATTCTGTCATCATTTACTCACCCTCATGTTGTTCCGAACCTGCATGAGATTCTTTCTTCTGTTGAACACAAAAGAAGATATTTTGAAGAATGCAATGGTAAGCAAACAGTTGACGGTAGCCATTGACTTCCATAGTATGGAGAGAAAAAAATATCAAAAACTGATTAATTATCCACATTCTTCAAAATATCTTCTCTTATGTTCAACATTATGTTCATCCTCATCATCACTTGATTTTATTCTAAACCTGATTTTATCTGATTATCAAAAATCATTCCTGTTTGGAAAACATCATTTGTTTCTATTGACAAGCACATGTGCAAAACTGAATGAAAATGAACGTAGAATAACACAATAGTCCAGGGTTATTGAACCAAACATTATAAAGTAGAATTTTTATACAGACCTATTATTATTATATTATATATTCTGTATTTAAAAAAAGCATGGCAGGGTTATGGGCAGTTCTAAAAATGGGATGTTTATATTTGCTGAACGCACAATTATGACTAGGCCTAATATTATTTTTTCCATATTATTATAATATACTGAGGATGCTGCTTAATTTATTTGTTATAATGCAGTTATTTGTTGCTATAATTCTCTTAATTGAAAAGCTGTTCAATCCAGAGATCTGTGATTAACAAATTCCCATCAAGAGAAAGGTGAAGTTGCTAAAACAAACAAACAAACAAACTCTATTTTCAATGACTTGTTTATTTTTATTCTATTTTATATTTTAATTTGTACTAAACTTTTGTAGTGTATTTATTTATTTATTTATTACTATAAATTTGTGCTTGTCTGAATATGCTGTAAAGCTTCTTTCACAGTCAGAGATACTTTGTTTATGCAATGTTAAAGGGGTCATAAGATGTTGCTAAAAATAACATTATTTTGTGTATTTGGTGTTATGAAATGTGTTTATGCGGTTTAAGGTTAAAAAAACACATTATTTTCCACATACTGTACATTATTGTTTCTCCTCTATGCCCCGCCTTTCTGAAACGCGTCGATTTTTACAAAGCTCATCGGTCTGAAAAGCGAGGTGTGCTCTGATTGGCCAGCTATCCAGTGCGTTGTGATTGGCCGAATAATATCTCTTTGGGTTTGAGACTTTAGTCTTTGCAACTTTACAGATCTTCTTTATGCACCAAGAGCTTGTAACACTCCAAAAAGAAAGGAAAACTTGAAATCGCATCATATGGCCCCTTTATAAGAGGACAGCTCCCGTGTTGTGCCTTTAAAAGAATCTGTGCACAGAAGTGCAGCGTTGAGGTTCCCCGATCACATTACTGTGTCACACGGGTCAAAGTGTTATTGCGCGTAAAACTCCGCCTTAAACAAACATGCACTAGATATCCTCATCATAGTTCAACTCTCAGTTTTGCCAGTGACTGAGTTATATTTGGGAGTAAGGAGGAGTCTCTGCACTCGGTGAGTGTGGAGTCTGAAGCAAATGTGTTACTGTTCATATCACATGTGCGACTGAATGTTCAGAGTAACGTGGCGGGTCTTCATCGTTGACCAACAATCAACGTGTACAGTCTTTCTCTCATAATCACAATCTGGGACCAATCCGAAAGGATCCTAATGGGATTGTTATGGGGATTCCAACATAACACAAACACTATTCCTCCAGTCTTCAGTGTCACATGATCCTTCAGAAATCACTCTGATGTGCTGATTTATTATCAATGCTGGAAACTGTTGTGCTGCTTAATATTTATTTTTTTTTGGAACCCATGATACTTTTTCAAGATTCTTTAATGAATAAAGTTAAAAAGAACCGGATATATTTAAAATAGAAATCTTTTCTGACAATAGAAGTCTTTATTATCACGTTTTTTCACTTTAACACGTCCTTGCTGAATAAAAGCATTGCTTTTATTAAAAAATGAAAGAAAGAAAAAAATACTGACCCTACATTTTCGAATGATGGTGTGTACTGTTACAAAAGATTTCTATTTTAAATATATGTTTTTTCTTTTTAACTTTTTATTCATCAAAGAATCCTGAAAGAAGTATATAAAATTAAGCAGCAAAACTGTAATAAATCAGCATATTATACTGATTTCTGAAGATCATGTGACACTGCAGACTGGAGTAATGATGCTGAAAATCCAGCTTTGAAATCACAGGAATAAATTATATTTCAAAGTATATTAAAATAGAACATTATTTTAAATTGCAAATTCACAATATTGCAGTTTTTTTCTGTATTTCTGATCACATAAATGCAGTATTGATGAACAGAAGAGACTTACAAATCTTACTGATCCCAAACTTTTGAACGGCAGTGTGTGTGTGTGTGTGTGTGTGTATATATATATGATATGTTTTGGACTGGGACAGAATAGTTGCATTCAAGCATTTGCTAACAAACTCCTAAAAGGCATTTGCATATAGAAGTTTTGCTTATGTTTTTCTCAGAGCACATGGCATTTGCATGTCAGCATGACATTTGAGGTAACATCTTTTGTTGTTGTTGTTGTTGTTAGTGAGGATGGAGAGCTCTGGTGACCCCAGTGGTCCTCCACGGACGCCGCATGTAGGGGGTTCCAGAGGGTTACCGATGGGCCGACGGCTGCCTGCTTCAATCTCCCCGGGACGCCTCTCCACAATGCGCTCCAGAGACCTCACGTTAGGAGGAGTCAGAAAGGTAAGCCATACATTATAGCCATACAAGACATTTCAGATGCATTATGCTGCATTTTAAAGTGTCTTTTTATCATTTGTCCTGCAGAAAACCTTCACGCCCAATATTATTGGTCGAAAATCAAAAGAGGAGTAAGTGACAGACTTTTTTAGAACTGGTGTCTGTTTACCATTTATTTCTCAGTATATCATCAATAATTCATTGTTGACATAATGAAGGCATCGACGTTACTTGCAAGTGAAGATGCAGTTATTTGTTTTACTTGGCTGCAGATTAAAGGCTGATGTAGGAACGAGACGGGATAAGAAGGATGTGGATCGAGGTCGGCAGCGGGACGGCCGAGGGAGGGGCCGAGGTCGCCCTGAGGTCATCCAGTCCCATTCTATCTTTGAGCAGGGACCTGCAGAGATGATGGCCAAGAGGAAAGGTAAAGCAGGTCTTTAGAGGAGGATCTGAGAAATCGTCTGGCCGAGGACTGTGATTAGAGCCAGAGTATGTTACACTAAATGACATTAAAGCTGTAATGCTTTGTGTTGTGCCTAATCGTAACAACACCTTTTAAACATAGTAAAATCACTGTAGCACACAGCTTATTGCTTTTATGCTCCAGCAGCGACAGACAAATGTCCCCAGTGATTAATAATAATTGATTATGTATCCTGCTTTAACTAATAACAATTAACAGCTCTTCTGCTAATAATATACTGTAATTAACTAGCCTTACTTTATGTTGTTTACAGTTGTCAAACAACGTAACATTCAAATACAGAAGAGACTTACAAATCTTACTGATCCCAAACTTTTGAACGGCAGTGTGTGTGTGTGTGTGTATATATATATAATATGTTTTGGACTGGGACAGAATAGTTGCATTCAAGCATTTGCTAACAAACTCCTAAAAGGCATTTGCATATAGAAGTTTTGCTTATGTTTTTCTCAGAGCACATGGCGTTTGCATGTCAGCATGACATTTGAGGTAACATCTTTTGTTGTTGTTGTTGTTGTTAGTGAGGATGGAGAGCTCTGGTGACCCCAGTGGTCCTCCACGGACGCCGCATGTAGGGGCCCATTCATTGTAATTAGCAACATGAAATGCTGACAAGATGACATGCCTGAATTACATGTAAGAAATAACATGAATTTGTGCATTTTAATGTGTTTGAAAGACAAAAGCCTTCCAAAGACTAGTAATACAAGGTTAAATAACCTACTGAGTGATAATTCGACTAAAAATGTATGTGTTCATCAGTGGGTGATGCAGTGTTGAAACACTTCTTAAACCTGAAAGGATTTTTGCAAATTCAGTGGTCAAATGCTGTGTGCATGACCACCTGACTAGTGACTGGTCTTTGTGTGGATGTCCAAAAAACTGCATATATATATAAGCATATAATACTCAATATTAAAACATTTTAAAGAAGAAAATGGGAATTAGGGAGAACCAGTGTAACCAATATACTTAAACCCGACACTTTGTTATGAGTGATGATTATTGCAATAGCATTTTGGACAAAATCGTTGTTTTTCTGAAGCAGAGTTAGTTGATATTTGTATTCATGTTCTCCGTCATCTTTGCGTATATGTCTAAATCAACCTGGGTTTTTAAAGGTCAAATCTAGTCTACATCCACACATAGTCTGACTTCATTATGTTACTAAACGTGTATGTTATTTCATGTTTAATTTAAGAAAACATTCATAGGGTTAAGGCAAATGAATACATAATAAATGAATGAATTGTCAGCTGGCCTACTTAGATTATAACCACTAAAAGTGCACTTTGATCATTTTGTCAGTGATTAAGGAGGATGCCACCTGCAGAACTGCTGCTGTTTCATAAACTGATTTGAAAGAAAGGGATTGCTGCTCAGTTTTGCTTGCATGTAACTGTGACACTGTACTTCTGTTCCACATGGACACTGGCTTTAGCTTTAAAAACGAGAAGCTGAAATGACAGTTCGTGTGCTATGAGAAGTCATGACAAATGACATTCACCACCATCTTCCCTTTGTGACCGCTCTTTTGAAGTTTCTGTTCATCAGAGAATCCAAAAAAAAAAAAAGTATCACAGTTTCCACAAAAATATGAAACTGTTTTCAGCGTTGACAATAAGAAGAAATGTTTCTTGAGCGACAAATCAGCCCATTAGAATGATTTCTGAAGGATCACGTGACACTGAAGACTGGAGTAATGATGCTGAAAATACAGCTCGCAGGAATAAATTACATTTGAACATATATTTAAATAGTAATAATATTTCACAATATCATTGTTTTTACAAAAACATGAACAAATCTGTAATTTGGAGCAGTCGTGTTTTTACTCTTGCACTACAGTGAGTCACTAACTGCAATTCTTTACAACTTGCGAATTTCATATTTTATTGAATATATTAAGATATATGATGGGGTCTTGAAAATGCGCTGCATAGAAACCCACTGTGCAATAATGTAAGCTATTTCTTGATTTTTTCCCCCCTTTGTGTTTCAGAGGGACTGTACAGTAAATGTCTATTCAACTCATGAAGAAACATATAAATAGTCTGCTCATTATTTTATTTTATGGCTTGAGCAGGAATCCCTGCCAGTGCTTCAGGCTGCTGAATGATTTCCTGCTGGCGTCCTGTTATAGCTACTGCAGTGACTCTCTTTTTCTCTGCCTTACATTCAGATTCAGCCCCAAACACACAGACATACATGAAGACAGAGACAAGGTCAGTAGAGAAAGATGCCATCTGAAATGTACACATTTAGTTAAATTGATATCAAATGCAAATGGTTCAACTTACAAGCACTCTTAGGTTCAACTAATTGCATTTATAAATGTAAACTATAATGCATTTTTATTTCATTCAAATGCAAAAATAAGCACAGCTGGCATATCGACATTGAAATACGATTTAAATAATGTTTCAACGTTGATACGACGTTTAATGCTGAATGGTTGAATTTAGTTCACATATTTTTGCAAAGTATATCATTTTCATAATAAATAGCCTACTCTTTTAAAAGTTTGCTGAAGTGTAAGCTACTTCTTTTTCATAATTCAACACTTTTTACTTTTATCTGGCTTATTTCCAAATAAAACTTGTTCAAATTGTTTGCACAAAACATGCAAATGAGAAGTCATTTTTTGACTTTAAGTATGCATTTTAACTGTAGGCCTACAGTTTTTCTAAATTGTACAATCATTTCCGTTTGTGTTTCTACTGAGGTTCATTTGTGGACTGTAAACTTATGCCAATAGGCAAGATTGCTGATGTCTCTATATTTCACATTACACTTCGTGATAAACACTGATTGTGTGAACATTTTGGAAAATACAAGTTCCTAAAAGCATCAGGAACTTCTGGTCTCGTGTGTGGAAAATGCGGCTGCAGAATTTCTCCAACTCACCCAACAACAGTATTTTCCCAAACAAACAGGCATGAGCGGTATTTACTGGTGTAGGCTAAACCTTTGTTTTCCTTCCTCCAAAAAGTACAAACCCCGCCCATCTAATGACTTCCCTCATAACTTTCAGTTCAGATACTATATGAAACATGTGAGTGAAGGAGCACACAGCTTCAGCTGGCTTGCCGTGGACAGGTGTGTGTGGACAGAATGGGCTTCAGTGCGCTCCTGTGTGCCTGTGTTGTAGCACTGTGCGGCGCCGCTCCGTTTACACAGAGTGACGAGCCTGACTACGACAGACCGATTATCGGTAAACCTCATGCCTTCATATCTTATATATCAAACAGATGGACAGAGTTGTGCACTAAAGTATTACTCTAAATTCTAGTTTTGCTAACAGACTGAATTTATTTTCAGCATATTTATAACAACAAACACACGCTAAAGGTGTGACTTACCTTTGAGCACATATGACTCACGCTAAACTTTGTCTATAGGGATTCTGACGCAAGAGGTTGATGATTATATGAAAAAGTTTGGAGAGACATACATCCCTTCATCATATGTGAAGTACATCGAATCCGGGGGAGCTAGAGTTGTGCCGATTAGGTAAGTCTAAAGATCCGACTCATGTTCAAAAAACCGATTAATCGACTATTAATCGGACTATTCCCTTGTGAAAAAAAGAAGAAGGGGAGAGCTGGGCACAAAATAACGCGGGGTAAGTTGTAACACACCTGGTTTAAATATTTCCACACATGCTAGCATAACCAAATTTACAGCATAGTTACCATATCAACATTATATAGAGAAAAAAAGTGCACCAAAATTCAAACGTTTTTTAAAGATATCGCTGAACATTTCTTTTACCATAGTAGAATTATATTTCTGGCTTAAGTAAATTTTTCATCTCAGTTTTTATTACTCATTTAAAATGAGACAAATCTGCTATTATTTTAATCTCCAATCTGTTATTTATCGGTTTATCAGTTATTTATCGGTTTAGATTATTTTTTAATGCTTCGCTAACTATCAGAAGACAGTAACCAGTTTTGAATTCCAGTTGCGCAGATGGGGCCCGTTGTAACACTGCGTTAGAATGTGCTCTTCTATGACATTAGCGATGTAATTCACACTATTTACTTTAATACATTTGAATGTTTTAGGACACTTCGCTGCATGTTATTTACAATTAAACGAATATGTATTATAGTTTACCTTTTTATTAAAAGATTAGTTCACTTCTAGAATTCCAGTTGCGCAGATGGGGCCCGTTGTAACACTGCGTTACAATGTGCTCTTCTATGACATTAGCGATGTAATTCACACTATTTACTTTAATACATTTGAATGTTTTAGGACACTTCGCTGCATGTTATTTACAATTAAACGAATATGTATTATAGTTTACCTTTTTATTAAAAGATTAGTTCACTTCTAGAATAAAAAAATTCCTGATAATTTACTCACCCCCATGTCATCCAAGATGTTTGCCTTTCTGTCTTCCGTTGCAAAGAAATTAAGGTTTTTGAGGAAAACATTCCAGGATTTTTCTCCATATAGTGGACTTCAATGGAGACCGATGGGTTGAAGGTCCAAATCGCAGTTTCAATGCAGCTTCAAAGGGCTCTACATAATCATAGGGGTCTTATCTAGTGAAATGATCGGTCATTTTCTAAAACAAATACAAATCTGTACTTTTAACCACAAATGCTTGTCTATGACTTCACGCGTTAATCTCGTTGGAAAGGTCACATGTGGTTAGTTCTTCATCTGTGTACTTCGGTCTAGGGCGAAAAACTCCATCTCATTTTCTCCTCCAACTTCAAAATTGTCCGATATCGTTAGATAAGACCGCTATTCCTCGGCTGGGATCTTGTAGAGCCCTTTGAAGCTGCATTAAAACTGAAATTTGGACCTTCAACCTGTTGGTCCCCAGTGAAGTCCATTATATGGAGAAAAATCCTCAAAAACCTTCATTTCTTTGCGACTGAAGACAAAGACATGAACATCTTGGATGACATGAGGGTGAATAAGTTATAAAGGACATTTTTATTCTGGAAGTGAACTAATCCTTTAAATACAATTAGTTGAACTTATAAGAGTGCTTTTTGACCCACTTAAGAAGGACTTGGCTACCTTAATGTCATAAATACTTCTATTTTCTTAATAGAATTACTTGGTGTACTGCCGAATGTACAAACAACCCTGCAGTTTTTCCCTCAGAGTCAATCATGTTATTTACAAGTGTGAATATACCAGCTGGTGTGACTGAGTCATTAAAAGAAACCGATTCACAAGAGTCACATCAATAATAACAACCGTATGCTTCAAGAGAATCAGAATTTCTATTTTTTTACAGGCTAAACCAGAGTTTTGCAGAGCATGAAAAAATCTTCAGGTCAATAAATGGGTATGTTCTCCATCTTTCTCACAGTTTTCTCAAACTAACAGACTCTATAGATTATGAGGTGTTGTCATTACTTGAACAAGTCCGTCACACACAGATTGTTATGATGACCTTAAATGATCTTTTCATTTTTTAAGCCGTTAGAACATGTTGTTGGGCATTATCTATCAAAGCACTGAACACATGATTGCTGTAACCTAGATTTTTATCAGTTCTACCGGTTTATAAATATTTATCTGTGCAAACCTGATTTTACACCCCACGTACATGTTTGAATGAAGTGTACAGAAAGTAAACAAAAGCTGTGATTCACATTAATACAATAATATTCCATAAAAATTAATACATAATTAATTTAATAAATAATTCCGTCCTTTCTCTCATTCAGTCTTCTTCTCATCGGAGGCTCTGTGAATCTGGAGACATCTGACTTCGCTCACACCGCTGGGATTTACTTTAGACTTGCCCTTAAGGTAGATGAATTACAGTATATGCTGCATCTGTAAGTGAATGTAAGATGCTCCTTGTTGTTAATGAAATGCCATTTTGTATCATCAACATACTGTTCTAGTTAGACATGATCATATACTGTACCATTACTGTAAATATTTTAGAAACTAAAAAGAAAGGCAGGGCTGTATGTTAACTTTTTTTTGCATAGCACTGGTGCTACAGAGGTTAAAAGGTTTGTAGCACAGGCCACACAATTGTAGCACCACCACCACAAGTAGTGCACTTCATCACTTAAACAGGACATTAATGTTCTAACATTTTACAATACAAAAATATGAAACAAAATCATAATCTCATGCGTTTTTATAAGAATAAAGTATATTTATAATGCAGTGTTAATCTCTGATATGAAAGAATGTCAGATCACAAAAGATGCTCCTTGTTGTTAATGAAATGCCATTTTGTATCATCAACATACTGTTCTAGGATATTGCGATTTAACGGAACAGTTAGACATGATCATATACTGTACCATTACTGTAAATATTTTAGAAACTAAAAAGAAAGGCAGGGCTGTATGTAACTTTTTTTTGCATAGCACTGGTGCTACAGAGGTTAAAAGGTTTGTAGCACAGGCCACACAATTGTAGCACCACCACCACAAGTAGTGCACTTCATCACTTAAACAGGACATTAATGTTCTAACATTTTACAATACAAAAATATGAAACAAAATCATAATCTCATGCGTTTTTATAAGAATAAAGTATATTTATAATGCAGTGTTAATCTCTGATATGAAAGAATGTCAGATCACAAAAGGAAGTTATTTCAAACACTCGACTGATGTCATGAAGTGAATTTGGACTAAAAACGTCATTAAATGTTCTCTTGGTTTGACAACAGGTTTGTAAACAGGCTCACACACTTTGCAATTTATTCATCGCACAGACTGATTTTTTTTTTCGTAGCATGTGCGACATGTCGCACTGTACAGCCCTGAAAGGAAATAAACTGAAAGACACTGCAAGACATTGCTGACAGTCTTATCAAGAGTTGTTTTTGTGCCGTCTCAGGCGAATGAAGAGGGTGAATACTTCCCCATCTGGGGAACATGCCTGGGATTTCAGCTGCTCACGGTGCTGGTGGCTGGAGAAAACCTGTTGAGTAAGACAACTGCAGAGAATGTCACTTATCCACTCAACTTCACCTCAGGTACTTAGTCCAAATATATACTGTAGCCGTAATGTACTGTATGTAGTCAAGATCAAGATCTTGATCCAATTTTGTATTTTTTTGGTGATGATACACTCTTTTTTTAATTGGGATCAGTGGTTCCATGAAGACCTTTTAAAATCCATGGAATCTTTAGATTCTCTAAAAAGTTGATTATTAAATGTGGATTATTAAAATGTTCTTCACACTAAGAATAATATACACTTGTGTTCAGTAATTTTCTTTCTTTCATTTTCTGAATAAATTAATACTTTTATTCATCAAGGATGTGTTAAATTGATAAAAAGTGATAGTAAAGACTAAATATATATATTATAGTAAAGAGTGATACTAATAACTAATTATATATATATATATATGTGTGTGTGTGTGTGTGTGTGTGTGTGTGTGGAGGACCGTCGTGTTTATGTCTTCGTACGTGAGTCACAGCTGACAGTGGAGAAGCGTGCTGAAGAAGACTGGCTCAGTGTTGTGCCCATCACTCCGGCTGGGAGGGACTTTAAATCGCTCGTGTTTAGCTCTCAATGGATGCCAACATCAGCCAGATGTAAAACGGAGGAGGTTTTCTCTTCATCGCAGGTGAATATGAGTGTGTCGTGAATGTGAACGACTGGATGAAACGACTGAGATCGCTATGAAGACGAGTGAGGACTGCGTTTAGATGAAGCCAGATGTGCTGCATGGCCTGACAGAGCGACAGACAGACAGAGGGCATCGTCTCTCTGTTTATAAACACACACCCCTTCTTAGAAAGGAGCCTCGCGGTGGATTGATGCACCCTTTCCAGTGGTGCAACGGTAAGATTACCCATATCCTTCCTGTGATATTGTAGGGTTTTATAGGCTGCTATATTAAAACAATAAAAGATAAAGCTTGAGGGTGTTCATAACAAAGAGATGTTGCTATATGTAAGGCTCTGAAATTAAGAAAAGGAGAAATATTTTAAAAATCTATAGTTTAAAACGCACATGCCAGGTCTTAGAAATGTAATATGTGTATCCATATTGGTTTCATACATTTTGAAAAACAATTATTCCACATTCTCTTCAAAAAGGTTTGATTGAATGGCTAAAAATGTCAAGTGGTGCAACCTTCGAATACTACTTAGGCCTACTTGAAAATCAAGTTTTAATTTGTGAATTGTTTTTACTACTATCATACATTTTTGAGTCATGAATATGTAATAATAATAATAATAATGTATTTTAAGTTTTCTTGGGGTTACTTCATTTGACTTTATATATATATATATATTTTTTTTCATTAAAAGGTACAATTTTTTAAATATTTTTAGCAAACTTCATGACCTTGACGTGCAGTGATTGGTCTAAACGGGATTCTCTCTGTTTTATGGTTTTATTGTCCGGTTATAAAGATGGCCTCCTTCGTGTTAGTAACACCACACTGACTTTGGTGGACAAAAGTAATATTAATAAATTATAATTCATATATGACTTATTTATTGTTATAAATATATGAATGATGCCAATAAACAATAGAATAAAATAATAACATTGCTAATAATTTAAAAGAAAACATTGCATTTTTCTTTCATTTATTAACCGAAAACATCTTTATCATTGAACAGATGTATTTAAGCATTTTTATAACTGTATCGTTTATGTATTTTTGAATAACTTCAAAGATACAGACCAGTTGCTTATGCATTGCATTTAATGTGTCATGTGAATGTACAAAATGACAGCCAGAGGACCGTCGTGTTTATGTCTTCGTACGTGAGTCACAGCTGACAGTGGAGAAGCGTGCTGAAGAAGACTGGCTCAGTGTTGTGCCCATCACTCCGGCTGGGAGGGACTTTAAATCGCTCGTGTTTAGCTCTCAATGGATGCCAACATCAGCCAGATGTAAAACGGAGGAGGTTTTCTCTTCATCGCACGTGAATATGAGTGTGTCGTGAATGTGAACGACTGGATGAAACGACTGAGATCGCTATGAAGACGAGTGAGGACTGCGTTTAGATGAAGCCAGATGTGCTGCATGGCCTGACTGAGCGACAGACAGACAGATGGCATCGTCTCTCTGTTTATAAACACACACCCCTTCATAGAAAGGAGCCTCGCGGTGGATTGATGCACCCTTTCCAGTGGTGCAACGGTAAGATTACCCATATCCTTCCTGTGATATTGTAGGGTTTTATAGGCTGCTATATTAAAACAATAAAAGATAAAGCTTGAGGGTGTTCATAACAAAGAGATGTTGCTATATGTAAGGCTCTGAAATTAAGAAAAGGAGAAATATTTTAAAAATCTATAGTTTAAAACGCACATGCCAGGTCTTAGAAATGTAATATGTGTATCCATATTGGTTTCATACATTTTGAAAAACAATTATTCCACATTCTCTTCAAAAAGGTTTGATTGAATGGCTAAAAATGTCAAGTGGTGCAACCTTCGAATACTACTTAGGCCTACTTGAAAATCAAGTTTTAATTTGTGAATTGTTTTTACTACTATCATACATTTTTGAGTCATGAATATGTAATAATAATAATAATAATGTATTTTAAGTTTTCTTGGGGTTACTTCATTTGACTTTATATATATATATATATTTTTTTTTTTCATTAAAAGGTACAATTTTTTTAATATTTTTAGCAAACTTCATGACCTTGACGTGCAGTGATTGGTCTAAACGGGATTCTCTCTGTTTTATGGTTTTATTGTCCGGTTATAAAGATGGCCTCCTTCGTGTTAGTAACACCACACTGACTTTGGTGGACAAAAGTAATATTAATAAATTATAATTCATATATGACTTATTTATTGTTATAAATATATGAATGATCATTTGACTTTATATTTATATATATATTTTTTTTTTTCATTAAAAGGAACAATTTTTTTAATATTTTTAGCAAACTTCATGACCTTGACGTGCAGTGATTGGTCTAAACGGGATTCTCTCTGTTTTATGGTTTTATTGTCCGGTTATAAAGATGGCCTCCTTCGTGTTAGTAACACCACACTGACTTTGGTGGACAAAAGTAATATTAATAAATTATAATTCATATATGACTTATTTATTGTTATAAATATATGAATGATGCCAATAAACAATAGAATAAAATAATAACATTGCTAATAATTTAAAAGAAAACATTGCATTTTTCTTTCATTTATTAACCGAAAACATCTTTATCATTGAACAGATGTATTTAAGCATTTTTATAACTGTATCGTTTATGTATTTTTGAATAACTTCAAAGATACAGACAAAAGTGTCATATTATTGACCCATATACACAATATCTATTTTCATATACTAATACAAAGATCATTATAGTCACTCCCCAACTGTTATATACACATGCACCAGTTAAAGGAGCATAGATTATATGATTGACAGCTTATTGTCACCTCACACTCACTGTAAAAGATTTGGACGCTTAAAGGGACAAAAAGAAACATTTTTAATAGACTATTAAATATTTCCCAATACAGGAAAGCTGTAGCATTCATCTGTTCATGCCTTCTGGGTTTGATACAGATCTGCATATCATTCTTCTATCTAGATTATTGAGAGTCACTGAGGGCTGTTCAAAAATTTCGATTACACCCGAATTCTTTCAGTCCATATTTGTCATGAAAGCGCCTCACAGATGAGAGCCCTCTATAATCTCGTGGGGTTGTTAATATTTCATGTAAATCTCAGTGAAAAGGCTTTGAAAGAACTGAAATGCACATTTTTCACATTCTTTATGTAAAAAAGCAGCCATTTTATTAATACACAGTGAAACGTGGCCAGTACAGTCTTCAACATGTATCCTTTTGTGTTCCACAGAAGAAAGAAAGAGGGCAAATAATGACAGAATTTACATTTCTGACTTGATACATGATAACAATTATAAATAATATTAAGCTATTTATGATTCAGCTTCATGGGAAAATTTGTCTATGTTGCTGCATATTTTTGATATCAGACAGAGAAAAAGAAGCGCTCATCTTTTTCACACTGCACACCGGCATCATACTCGCAAAATAGGTCAGCAGGTTTGCAAAGAGCTCTGCTGGCAAATGTGTGGTTTGTTCAAGGATCTGTTTTGCCAACACAAAAAGCACAGTTTAAATCCCAAGAAGGGGTGACTCAACCCTGCTTCATCAGTGTTGTGCCGCTGAGAGACTCCCTCACGCTGCGGGACGGCCTCCGCAGATGGCTTTCTGTTACTGAAGCAAATGTGTCTGTTAAATGGCAAGCAACTCTAGTGACCTACATTTATATGCCTTCTTATGCTCTCTTCCACACACCCCCTCATCTCACCTCCTGTTTGATTTTTTTATTCATGTTGTATCACGAACAGTACAAACTCTTGTGCGCTTATTGAATGTGCACTTCAAATTAATCAAGTTATTTTTTTTTAAATGTACTTGCAGATAATATAATATTAGTGAAATAAATGGCATCTTAAGAGAACTTAATATTTTAAACAAAAGAATTGGAATGAGGAGAAGCCTATTTTAAATCAGTTGTCAATCATATATTCAAAAGGCTTTATTGAGGTTCTTGAGCTAGGCCATTATCAGTTGTTTTGACAGCAGGGAGTGTGAGAATGAAGTGGAGAGACTGAGACTACGGCAGTGCTTTGCTATCGATTTCCTCCTAGGAAGCTCAAACTCTACTTGTGACAGATGCATCTCACTTTCAGCAGAAATGATGTTAAATGACAAGGTTATTGATTTCCACTGGTTCAGGTAACTTGTGAAGAGCTGCCAGAGACAGCTGAAATTAAAGAGCCTGTGTTTATCGGTTGCTTTTTTTTCAGCCTCGTACAAGAAGAACAAGTGCCATCTAAATGTGTTTCTGCAATCCAAATGTGTTTTTCCATCCAAATGAAGTTCTTGCACACATACATTTGTGTTTGAATTGTAGAAATGTACAAACATATTATGTACGTTTTAACAAACATATAAAGCAGCATAACTGTTTTCAACATTGATAATAATAAGAAATGTTTCTTGAGCAGCAAATAAGCATATTACAATTATTTATTAATGATTTCTGGAGGATCATGTGACACTGAAGACTGCAGTAATGATGCTGAAAATTCAGCTTTGCATCACAGGAATAAATTGCATTTTATAATATATATTAAAATAGAACATTTTTATTTTAAATTGTAACAATATTTCACAATATTACTGTTTTCACTGTATTTTTGATCAAATAAATGCAGCCTTGGTGAGCATAAGAGACTTCTTTCACAAACATTACAAAATCTTGGTCCAAAAAAAAAAAACGTTCCAGCAGAACAAGGTTAAATGTGGAAGGACAAAGGCTAATTCTGCATTTACATACAGCTTTTTAGACAAAACAACTATACAGACAGTAAAAACATGCAATAAATGCTTCATTTTACTCTTTTGTATTACTAACTAAACAGGTAAATCTATCAAATAACATGGTTTGTGCTGTGAATTATATACACGTGTGCAGTATACTGTAAGTACAGTAGTAGGTCATGGAGAAACACATTGGGCACAAAATGGTTTATGATATTAACAAACATCAGACTAGCTTTTAAAACATTGTGTTTAAAATATTTTCTTTATAATCTGATAAAATGTCCGTGAGCTTCCTCTATTTCTTGATTGTTTTGTACAAGCAGCTAACAAATGCCTGTGAGTAATAATGAAGGTCTACGATATATAAGCCACAGACACCTATTCATTATTAGCAGAGCGGTTTGGGCACTTCTGCTCCTGAACAATGTGAACACAGCAAGTGGGGAAGTTACAGTATATCAGACACTCGTCCAATCACAGATCAGGGAGGTGTTACTAAAGAATGCAATGTCCTGCTGTTTGCTTGGACTGCAAAACCAGCCTATGTATGTTGTGTAATGGTGTGGCAATGCTTGGTGGGATTTTCTGCTCAAAATCAGAGATCATTCAAGAGTTACTGAGGTCAAATTAGACTCAATCAGCATTATAATTGCAGCAGCGACCCAAAGGGTCATTGAGAAGTTGGAGAGTTTTGAATCATTCATCAGGTCCAATATCTGTTTTCCTTGCTTTTTGTTTTTAAATCACTTTTTTGTTGTTGAGTAAATATCAAAATTATGATACTTGTGTTCCCATGATGCACTGGGGCATGAATAATTACAGTAATAAGGTTGAATTTTTTTTTTTACTTTTTTTGAGTTGTAACTTGTATATGTTTTATGGTTGCTTTTGTTATTGTTTTGTGACATCTGTGGGTCATTTATATTCAAAATGACCCTTTCACACTCAAACACTATCCACTGATTGTTACTATCATATTGTGTACCAAGTATTGAGGTCTCTGTGTTCATCTGGGTATTAACTACGTATATATTGTGTAGACATATTATCTTAGAAAGTGTAACAAGCTGTCTATTGCCTTGTTTACTCGGATGTTTCTAAGTGAACCATATGCATTAATAGCATGGCTTCTTTACTTTTTTTGAGTTGTAACTTGTATATGTTTTATGGTTGCTTTTGTTATTGTTTTGTGACATCTGTGGGTCATTTATATTCAAAATGACCCTTTCACACTCAAACACTATCCACTGATTGTTACTATCATATTGTGTACCAAGTATTGAGGTCTCTGTGTTCATCTGGGTATTAACTATATATTGTGTAGACATATTATCTTAGAAAGTGTAACAAGCTGTCTATTGCCTTGTTTACTCGGATGTTTCTAAGTGAACCATATGCATTAATAGCATGGCTTCTTAGAGTAAAGTTTACAAACAATGATTGAGTAAAATGTACTTGAGTATTGTTTAAGTAGAAATTACTCAACAAACTCTTACTTGCTTTGTTAATTTTACATAACTTTGTAGATTTGACTTAATTCTATACTTATATTTACTTTAAAAATATGTGCAAAAACTTGCAAAAGTAAATTTTACTATTTTTAAATATTTACAAAAAAGTACAACTTTTTGTTTTATCATCAAAGCCCAACATTTATGAAATAAGGGAAACACCTTTGATTTAAATGTCCTAACACTTTGATATCGTACACTACCATTGTACAATATCATTTGTACATCATATCATATACTGATCAATAATACAGTAAAACAGTACACTCTAAAAATGGCTGGGTTAAATATAACCCAGCGCTGG